TGGTTGAGTCATGAGTGTGTAATACAGTTCTCTGTTTCCTATTATGTAAATATGATTTGAGCCATTTCAAAATACATCCTTTAATACCATAATGTTCTAACTTTTGGATTAGTAGGTTGTGCTTGACACAATCAAAAGCCCTTGTAAGGTCACAAAATACACCTACCACTAGTTCTTTGTTATTCCATGCCTTATAAATAGCTTCTGTTAGTTTGAAGATAGCATTTTGTGTAGATATACCATTTCTGAATCCAAATTGCCCATCCACAATAATATTATTGTTTGTCAAATGTTGTTTTAGTCTATTAAAGACTAATATTTCAAATAATTTAGAAAACCCTGTCAATAAAGAAATAGGCCTATAATTAGATATTTCAGATGTATCACCTTTTTTAAAGCGTGGTATAACATTAGTGTATTTTAGTCGATCTGGGTATATACCTGTTGTTAAGGAAAGATTGTAGATGTGAGTAAGGGGCTTAACTATCTGCGCTCCACATAACTTGATAATTTTATTAGACAACCCATCGTATCCACTAGAGGTCTTATTCTTTAATGAAAGAATAAATATAATGAAGAGAATACTTCAGACTCCTCTACCAGAAACTCAGTCCTGGCTAACCAGTTCACAGCATGCAATAGTACTGAATGAACTATTATGTGTTTGCAGTGTGTACAGAGAAAGCTTCAGTCCTATAACCATCATAATTATAAATTTGTGTATACATGAATATGTCTTTTCTGCACCTGAATATTCTTGTTGCTGGTGTCATACTGCATTTGGATTTTAATCAGTCTGAGAACTGTGATGGTACAACTTTTCGTAAGTAATTTAACTGGTTTTACAAAGCTGATTTTGGCTTGTGACTGAAAGCAGACTGATATGTTGCAAAGCAGTTATATGTGTTAATTTTATTATCTTTACTTCCTTGCTCTTTACGTTTTGCACGCTTGTTATAATATTGTTATTATCAGGGCCCGGATTTTGATGACATGTTACCTTTTTTTCCTTGTATCCTATGTGATGCTCTTAAATATATAAATCTCGGATATGAGCTACTGGTTACAGAAATGTAAATTTCATAGGTCATTTTTTGTCATTTTTTTACATTTTCAGATTTAAGGTCGTTTTTTTCATTTTGAGGGTAATTTTTTTGGACTTTTAAGGGTCTTTCTCGTCATTTTTGGCCATTTTAGGGAATCTTTCTTCATATGTTTTCTGAAATGTGAATAACATGGAAGCGAAGTGTTCTTTCTTTTCTCCTTTAGGTCATTTTTCTGGATTTCTCTGGTCATTTCATAGGTCATTTTTTTTTAATATTTTCAGGTCATCAAAATCCGGGCCCTGGTTATTACTAATCATTGTGGTACAGTGGTTAGCACTGCAGATTCATATTGAGGAGATCTCAGATTCAAACTCTGACTTACAGCCTACAGTTTTCGTGGTTTTCCTCAGTTCCTTTATGGAAATGCTGGGATCCCACCTCAAATTAAGACTGCAACTATTTCTTTCCATATCCTTTCCAGTTAATTACACACATACTGATAGACTGGGGGTGCTTGAGAACAAGGTGTCAAGGAGAATATTTGCACCAAACAGTGCTGAAGTGACAGGAGGTTAGAGAAAACTATATAATGAGGAGCTTCATAACTTTTACTCTTCACCAAGTATAATTAGAATGATCAAGTCAAGGAAAGATTAGATGGGCAGGGCATGTAACATGAATGGGGAGAACAGGAATGCATACAGGATATTGGTGGGAAGCCAGAAGGAAAGAGACCACTAGGGAGACCAAGACATAGCTGGGTGGACAATATTAAAATTAATCTTAGACATAGGATGGGGTTGTATGGACTGGATCAACCTGGCTCATGATAGGGTCCAGTGGAGGGCTCTTGTGAGCAAGGCAATGAATCTTTGCATTCCATAAAATGTTGGGAACTTCTTGAGTGGCTGCACGATTGGTGTCTTCTCAAGAAGGACTCAGCTCCATGAAGTTAGTTTAGTTTGGGCCTATTTTTCCTGTTGGTCCATCAAGATCCCATCCTTCTTTCCCCATTCCAAGTTCTAATTAGCTACTCCTATCTTCCATAAACTAGTTCTACATATCCTGCCACTTCTCCAATTTCGCTCAACCCTGGGGATGGATGTAGTATTATCATTACAGTTTTCTGCAGTGTGACAGTGTGTACGTTGATAGCTTGATTCCTCCATGGTGTAAAATCCCAGAAGACCATAATCTTATTATTCTTGGCCATGAAAATCTCATCGATGCAATATGTTATATCATAATGCTGATATTCACCTACCAAAGTACATGATGTCATAACCAGGAAGAGCATAATATGAATTTTCAATGCTGTGAAAGTCTCAGATCTTACAAAACTGAATAAAATTACATATGTGCAAATAAAGAATACATGTATGTATTTCCCATATAACACAAGTAAGAACCTTAAATAATGAGGTGCCAGGAGGTATGAATAGTCAATATGCACTGTCCATGCTACCCACGTTATAATGAGGCATCATGATCTCCATCTTACAGTAGATATGTACAATAATTAGAACTAGGCACAAACTGCACTCTGATTTTACCTTTACACATCACAGCACTTATTATATGTTTTATTATACTTAACATTACAATTGACACAATTATCTGAACTCAGGTAATGATCACTTTTTTCTATGACGTATGCTTACAAGTCTCAGACTACAAAGATTTAACCAAGCAGGATGGTACCCACAGCAGCGGCCCGGGTTCAATCCCAGGTCTGGTGAAGTGGGATTTGTGGTGGACAAAGTGGCACTGGGGCAGGTTTTCTCCGAGTACTTTGGTTTCCCCTGCTAATCTTCATTCCACCAATTGCTCCACAATCACCCTCACCTATCATCTGGGGCTGGCACAATAGGCCAGAAGTGGCTGCAGTACAAGGGACTTAGTCCCACCCCACTAGCAATAAAAAAAATGCAGGATAGTACAGTGGCAATGTTCCAGATTTTTATCCAAGATGTATGGTGTTTGAACTTCTACAACCACCTCCTAAAACAGTCTTACCTATTCACTATTTATGACCATCTTTCTCTCTTATTTGCTGTTGTATAACTTCTCTAAGGGGGCACTAAGCTACAATCCAGAAGGTCCCAGGTTTGATTCCTCATGAGGTCATTGCATTTTTCAATTGACCTAATCCTTTTAACCGCACCATGGCCCTACGGTCACATCAGCCTCTAGCAGAAATGAGTATAAGGAATCTTCGTAGGGGTAAAGGACAGCTGGCCCATAAGGCTGACAACCTCACCGCCAACTGTCTAGAAAATGTAAGAGCCTCAATGTCTCACAACCCCATGGGACTCCACGACCTGTTACAGAGATAGCATATAACCTCTCCAATTGAAAGAACATTCTTAATAAACCTAAGTACAAATTAACACAAGGAGTTTCAAGTGTTTAGGGCCATAAAAAGTACTCTTGCTATGGTCTGAACTGTTTTAAAATTTAACTAACAGATTTCTAATTTGCATATTCCATCATTCAGTTTAAAATAACTGAGTGCACACATATACCAGTATCCAAAAATGTTAACAACTATTGAACAGAAACAGAGACTCTGAAATGCAAGTCTATTATCTAAAGTAAAGTTATCCAAACAGCAGTACACAGCTGCATTCAACATGCCAGGTGGGTTTGCACACACCCACAAGAGTAACCTTCCTTTTCCCAAAGTACATATTAATGCTTTCCTCTTCTTTAACCTTTTGATGCAGGACAGTTAATTCCTACTCACTCCTTGGGATGGAGGGTATTTAAACATTTAAAATGGTAAATGCAACATTTCACTTAAAGTGTAATACATTGGGAAAAACTGGAGGTTTGTTTTTCTAATTTTCATAATACATTCAGAGATGTATATAGAATTGGTGTAGTGACCCACACAGTATCAAAATTATTTTTTGGTACAGTAAGCCTATAAAAATTAGAAATAATAGTATTATATTATCTCAGAAATT